ATTTATTTATTTATTCATATCTTTCAGTCTATTCTGAAACCTTTTGAGTTGATGGAAATTATCTTTTGGAAATATTTCACTGTATTTATGTCCTTTGCCTACTATTCATCGAATATTGTTCTATTTTATTCTCTATATAGTACATATACTTCTGGGCCTCATCAAAAAACCCATCTAAAACATTCCACACATTCGCATTTGCTAACAGCAGCCAATAACATTTTATGGCGCACGCCATTGCTATGTGCCACACACTCAAACACACACACGCACACACACACACACATACAGCGATCAACGAGTGAAAAAAGAGAAAAACTGACAGAAAAACTAATTCCACATAATGGCCAATCTACATAAAAAAATCGCTCGACATGAAAACCAAAAATCGATGAGCGGAATGGCAGTGGAGTAGCAATAGGAAAAAAAAGGAGAAGAAAAAGAAGAAAGAAAAAAAACAACAACAACCAAAGCAACAACTGCGACTGAGTCACAAAATACCACCCCGCATAAATTTGCAAATAATGAAATGGTAAAAAAAATGCACACATAAACAGAAATACGTACATACATATATACACACACACACATAGACAGACAGACGTGCACGGTTCACCAAGGGGCGACTGGCGAATAAAGTTCCAAATCATGAAGCATACAAAATGAAAATCCACCCTCGAAAAAAGTTGCCACGTTTTTTCCTTTTTTTTTCCATTTTGGGGGAAAAAAGAAAGCAAAAAGTATTGTAATGGTCTCTCTATGTGTGTGTGTGTGTGTGAGAGGCGTCTGTGTGTGTGGGTGGGTGGTTGGTTGGTTACTTGGTTGCTTGTTTCGCTTTCGCTTTGTTTGCAAAACAATCAAAAGCGGACGATTCGTCTCCACTCTCCCATAGCTGCTTGGCCACCCCACCCCGTGCTCCGTTGCCAGCTCGCCCGGCTGCTTCTATTACTCCTGGTCGGTGGAGCGTGGTCCTTGGAGCACATGGCCGGCGTTGGCCGCGACATTTGTCGTTGTTGGCGACATTAAATGTAGCTAGAAGTTGTTTGTATTGTACATTATATGAGATATACCCTATACAAAGCAAACGAAGCGGGAGTCTTAACACTTAAAGCAAACACTGCCTTAAGCATTGTGCGGGGTATTGTCGCTTCGCCATCTTCTTACATATTTCCTGCCTTTTCTTTTCGCTTCTGCCCAACGCAAAACCAATTTCAAGCATATTTTTATGAGCACTGTGAGCCGCCGTTGGCGTCATGGTCGCACTCGAGGAAGGAGCAGCTTTATTTTATTTTTTAGACATGCACCAAGACCACCGCAAGACGCTAATAACGTTTGTCGAACTGGAGGAGCTGCCCGCTATGGGAGAGCTAGGTAATTCTGCTTGGATTGCCGTCCAATTGGAAAAGTTCTCACTGAGGGAAATTGTTGCAGTGGGAAGTTCTTAAAATTGATGAATATATTAAAATATATCAAATTTAATATTAATATAAATATAGCATTAAAGTAAGTATTACAAGATTTTAATAGAATATTTATATTTA